ATATCTTACCCTCGGGCGGTTCGACCAATTGCCAGCAAATCAAATGGTTTGCAAATCTCTGAAAGGCCGATACATCGTTACTAGCGACTACGAACATGAGGCCCGAGCTCGCCTAGGCGATCAAATTACATTACGGAGTAGTAAAAATCTTATCCACAAAGTAGGTAATTATTCCTCGCGACTCGCAAGTTCTTGCTGAGTTACTAACGCCATAAGCAGACCATCAGCCTTAGAGCAGTGTGGCTGCAGATGGTAATATAACTTTCTGCAAGTGGCTCTAATAGGATACTTGCTAAGGTAAACGACCAAAATCTTTTTCTCTGGTACTTTGTGAGACCGGAGTCATGCCAGATAATTCAGATTGATGGCACGAGCATCTGCAATTCTACCCTCAAGTCGTAGGAGGATCGACAATCTGAGCAAGATAAGTTCCACGTCTATGTGGGCAAAGTCATGGCTGTAAACTTGAATCTGGTGGAGCTGATGATAATATGAGCGTTCACAATAATACAATAATCACCCTAGCAGATGGTGATGTTGTCTTGCACCTTAACATCCTTCAGGAACGTGCACGATTTCAGACCTATAGGAGGCTGATCCTTCGAGTATCCCATAACGAGGCAACTCGAATCTTTCTTCTGTTGCTGCACCTTGCCACGACTTTCTCGAACCATTTATGAGGCAACTCCGAGCAACGAATTGGCAATTAATCTTCAACGGTAATTATTGATACTACTACCAGTCATGCAGCCGAGTTACCTCCTTAACTTGAGAGAGGGTCGAAGTTGCATAGCGGCACAGATCATTACTACTTCGGCTTGCCTGCATGCCATTATCTCCAGCACGCTAGCCTGGGCAATATCGTTCCTCCGAGCACGATTAGTGAAACAAATACATATTTCATTTTCACCTGCACAGACTCAGACTGGAGCTGTCTTAGCCTCCCCACAGAGCCCACCATCACCCGGGAATGGCCGAGGATCGGTATGCAACTAGCCCAAGCTGTACTACGGGTAGGCCCCGGCCGCCTAGCTCGTACTTACTGTACTCTGTTTAATACCGACAGCATTACATACACCTGCTTCGTTCTCTGCACTCTGTAGTCGCCTATCTCCCACTCCATGCTATGGATTACTTTCACGTTGAGACGCCTAATTGATAACCAGTCAATCTTGTACTATGTACTCCGATACCATTCACTAGAAGAGAAATGCTATTCTCTTGCGTGCACCCATTACAGACGATCGTCCATAACTATTAAAAAGGGGTGTCATTCATGGTAACAAATCTTCAGGTCCACCCAGTATGTAGCTCTGTATCAGCATAGACACTATCTATTATTACAGTATTCTGTAATCTCCACCTGCTATGATGCATCCTTCAGACGGCCGAGACGACGTTTTTCCGCTGATGGACTGGCCCCTTAGCTTCGTCTAGCTAGAAACGGAACGGGAAATGGTGCGCATACGGAGATGACATGCAGCTCGTAATGTCGATCAAAACGGAAGCCGCTTTTCGTTTCTGATAGTCGCACGCCTGAAACATATTACAGTCTCTAACGATGATTGACCGAAAGACAATAAGGTAATGACCTGAGTCTCTTGATTTATCGGGGTGGTGATGGTGACGATGGCCAGGTAGGTAGGTATCTACTGTGGGAGAATATATTTTGTCGACAAATCTCAGTGACCTCTACTTATCCACGCTTGCATAATATGGCTGAATCTGTAATTAGTTCAATAGATGGCTTCGAGTTTGATCATAGTACATATCTGACAGTACTAGACTAGATTTGCATGTTGATAGATGTATGAATCCGTGGCCCTGTCATTATTGCACTTTTTGGGGGGATAGCCTAAGCCGGACGGACTCAACAGAGAAATGAAAATGCTAAGTGACGATCCTGACAACTCTGCTATACCAACATTGGGATATTATTTGGTTGGCTTAATTTTGAATAGATAATCCCGTAAGATCCTTGAGCTTACGGTCGAGTAATACTGTTGAGGACTGCAAACTACTGGTGGAATTTATATGATTAACAAGTCTAAAGCCAGTATAAATGCTGGAGCATCATGCAAGAAACGTATACATGCTATAGATAAGCGCGGATATGATCTAGGCACTCGGGATACAGCCGACATAGATTGTAAGCACCATCAAGGTAAAAGATGGTTCTCATTCTTCGATTGAAGGGGGAATACCACTCATGATGTATGGCATCCATTACAAACACCCATAAAAGCTCGATTGCGGAGCGCAGTGGAAGCCTTTTATCCCTCTTTCCTCTTCCTCGGAAGCCTTATTATCTCAGCAGTTGGGCCACCTACACCAGACGATACCGTTATCATTTTACCCCCAGCAAGGGTTACCTTAAACACCTATTCTAAGTAGCCCTAGATCATCAGGGTCTAATGCATTTTGGGATACTTAAATAATTTCACAGCACTAATAAGCTTACTTGGCAGATACTGCCACACCATAGCCCGGGTAGTCCAGGGGTAAGATTCATCGTTCGGGTTCTAGACCTTGTCTCGATGAGACCCGCGTTCGAATCGCGGCTCGGGCCCCATGTCTCTTTTTTTTTTTTTTTTCCTTTTTTCCCTCCTCGTTTCCGGGCGGTATCTGTCGTACCCATGTAGTATATACACTTCTCATCGATTTTCTTTTGCCTAAACTAAGTCCTCATTCATACGTGAATATGGTCGTGATAGGGCTTTGATAAATCTCGTATAGAAGTAAATTTGAACGATTAGGGGTCCTGCTAAGTGCAGCATGGTTGACTAATGGCCCTTAACTAAGCCAGTGAATAAAATCTGTATTGTAGCTACAGTCACGACCAGCAAATTACGCGGCTGAAGTATGAAAACTAATACAGAGCACACTCAGGAAGAAAGTATGATAACGAGAAGGACCTACAGAGTACTCTGTACTACTTGCTTACTCTGGATCCTGAACAGTATCTTCCAGTCAGCTTTGCTGCGCCAACCGTCGGTATACCATCGCGCGACCGCTCGTGCTTTGTGGTCTTAGCGAATAATGGACTGTCTTTGGCTGGCAACTCCTATCGGCGAGACTGCAGACTAGTGCAGGTCGCAGACAGCTTCGCAGGCCAGAACGGGTAGCTCTCTCCAATCAATGTCAAGACCGAAATGTCGATCATGTGAACAACATCCTGAGGTCTCTCCAAGAATATCGCTGACCGTCCTGTTCTTGCTTAGGCCATTGATCAAATGTATGAGACGATAGTGTGGACCATATCGTAACCACAGAGTACACAGTAGATTTGTTCACTTCGCCGCACTTCATTTAGCTGGCTAATTTGTCCATTTTCGATGTGCTGTTATCTCCATCGCAAAAGATCCGAGGTCCTAAATTACGCACATGACGAGAACGTCTCCTAGTTTCTCATGGCCCTGCTACTCCGTAGTCTAGATACATTAGTCCATCTACTCCGTACTCTGTACTGACTACTGCAGTCTGCTTTCAAGCTAGCTTAACTAGCCTGACTCCACTGTCAACTTAGCTTGCTGGCTTGATAGTTGATTATCGCCGGTGGCTAAAACCAAGACGCAGTGGATACTATTTTACAAACTAATAACGGTTCTCTCAGCATTAAATGGAAAGATTGACCAGAAGTCCCATTGGGAATTTCCTCCCGCGTTCTTTGTCTTAGCTTGAAGTACGTGACTCCCTTTGGAAGGTATTAGATACATCTCCTTTCACTGAACCTCGGGCCGAGAGGTGCGGAAAATATCCGAGCTCTGGCTCTTTTGATCGAAACTCTGTAGCTACAGGCTAAAGTCCCACAACCATTTCAGGGTACCTAGTCATTACTATCGTGTACTGGAGACCGTCTGTGGAGACTGTCTACAAATTATTTGAAGCATAAAAATAGTACGATAGCTACATCAGGTCAGACTTACAGGAAAAAGATGCACCCAACAATGCGATGATGATCCTCCTTGTTATACTCTTATAGACTTTGCTCCTTCAGGATACTGGCTACAAATGCTCTATCTAATGGCCGGCAAGCAGTATCCAGCACGTCACGTCGCTGACAAAACATTGCTTTTGTACTGGGGCCCTCTTCAGTTTTCTTCCCTTCTTCACTTGAAGAGGGCCCATTGAGTTTGAAAGCCACGAACGAAAATATAGGAAGATTAAATGCGTGAGGCTTTGATCGAACCCTCGCAGTACGTCAATTCAACGCTCATTGCGTCAAAACGGCAAATAATCACCAATCATACCTAGGAGCAAGACATCGGATGATGTTTAGGGCGTGCTTTCCACAAATTGGCATCGAGACTCGAATGAGACGCATGCCAGGCATGGAAGGTTCTCTGAAGTTCCGGGCCCGGACTGGATCTATATCATGTGTTCGCTAGGTCAATCGGAGAAGTCCCGCTATGAGCAGCTCATCCACAAAGGTAGACCATGACATCAACATTCTGCTGTCTCTGCCGGCAGGTAAGGTATCAGCAGGTTTGCCTATAGGCGCACCGGTGTTGCTCAGGCCCTGCCAACATCGGTCTACCAGGCAGTAGCGGAAATGCAGCTCTTGCTTCCCCCCGAAGCACTAATGCGTCTATGCAAAAGCGTGCATCCTGGCTCATGTTGCATGAAGTCTTCTAGAAGTTCTTGTCCTCGGCAATTACTCCGCATCCAGCCCATACGGCTCCGGCTCTGAAACTCTACTCTCCTGCATCATCGTATCGATTTGACATTAGATTGCTCAGTAATTTCAGGAGAAGTCGAGGAGCCTTTGCTGAGAAGACTCCTCCATGCTTCTGTCCGCCCTCCTTCGGCGACCAATGCAGAAAGCATACAATAAGTAGCCAAGGCTGCCTTTGTCTGGCAAGCTTCTTGAGCTTTGCAGTCTCATGGCATACATTGACTGGAAGAGTATCCCGATGCGTATCAAACAGTTGAAGCATATCTCTCAGGGCAATACATGGATCAGCAGCTATCATTCTCAGTTACCAGGGTGAGCGAACATATCATGACCCATCACTAGGCTTCCATAACCAGCCAGCGGGATGAAAACAGACTTCGAAGTCGACTCCACCAAAGAGTCCTATGGCACCATATAAGTCATAGTCTCCTTCCAATCCCTCAACGCCTCCAGCCTCCTGGTCGACTTCTTCATGGAGGTTCCAGCCTCCTCCTCTTTGCCCATTTCTGGTGAAGAAGACATCGACTTGGAGTCTCTTACACGCGGTTCCTGAAGCTCCACTTAGATGTTCTGGAAGGCGAAAGACCATCCCCAGACCAACAGTATCGTTCACATTAAAGGCGTCTGTGAATTGCTTCCCTCCCCACGAATCATTCACGAAGCGACAGCCGTCATCAGAGAAAACAGCAAGGCTACCCCTCTCCCAGCCGGGAGACCGCCAAGAGGGATAAGGCTGCGCGACAAATCCAATAGATAACCCGCTCGAATCAGCAGTCCCAGTCCCAGGCCCGGCACGGAGACCAAGCAATTTGACCTCGAAATATATGGTTTTGCTCTTTTCGGTGATATAAGGGGAATCATTAACTGGAAAATAAAGAGGCAGGCTTGTGGTAATTATGCAGTCACCGTTCCCGTTCTTCGTAGAACCTTTCCATCGACCTGGGTGTGTGGCAGTAAGGCTACCATGAAACTCACTCGGCTGCACAGGGCGGAGGTCATATCTCTGTACAAAGTCATAGACAGCAGCCGAAGGCTTCGCCGGCGGATGCAAAGGCACCCTGTCGCAGAATTCATGAGCGCGCTCTGCGTCATCACGGGATGCGTTGCCAGCATTTGAACAGAAATAGCCTGTCACCGGCGGCGGAGGCAATGTTGCTGTGTCGGGCACCAGTTCCTGCCAGTTGTGATATGGAGGAGGAGCAGGCTCGGCTCGTCCGCTATCATTCTGCTCAGGATGCCATGCTGCTTGGGAAGCATGATAGCTTGGAGGTGGTACCTGGAAGTTGGTGGGATCGCTCATAGTAAACGAATCACCGGAGGGATGTCTTTCGCAAAATAATATCCTTCCCAGTAAGATCTTTTCGTGCGGATGCAAAATAATTGTTCTTCTCTAGTAAATAAGAGAAGGATCAGACGCTAATGATAGGCAGCGACTCGACTAGGTTTGTGAGGCTTCTGTAGCCGTTTGGCTTTGCTGGGTGCTGCCAAGCGTGGCTATGCTTGGTACAACCCAGATGATCAGACTCTGTATACAATGATTTCAACGAAGAAGTAGACGACTTCGATGAGAGATGCAAGAGCTGAACCCGGATACTATGAGTACTCTGCCACTTCTTGCTTGCTCACATTATGTCATCAAAGGAAGTTTCTATCTTGGCTTTTATCAGATCAACCTTAGGTATCGCAGTTAGAGTGAGCCACCTATCCATGGAACGGCACTGGTAAGGCCCGAGTGGAAACATACAAGTCGATGAACCGATTCTCCTCCATTCTCCACTTCACTACCTTGGGTGGGAATGGACATCAAATTTAGCTCGCTTGTGAGGTAGCTAATAGTAGTATTAATATGAAGCCGTAGCTTTAAGTCATTGTCGCAAGCAGGTGTCATCAACAGAAATACTATTTTTCACTTTCCTCGCTCATCACCGTCCCCCCTTATATGTCGTTACTATCGCCTTCGAGAGGCTCAGCTCTATGCATGAACAAATGATGAACTCTCCTAAGGTACGGAGGTCGGAGAACAGAAAGGTTTGAGTACCTGTCTCTAAGGCTGTGGGAGGTAGCTGAGACCTTTCCCCCCTCTCTCCAATCAAAATCAATGCATCACATGCGGCTGCAGCATCGGGCAAATTTGAGGCTGACCCAGTCAGGACGGGTAGCAACTCAGAAAGAAAAACCATGAGGTCTAATAACTCCCAACCCGGAGGTGTTGACTGGCATTTTCGCCTTCTCGAGATATTCGAAACCAGAAGAGTCGTTTTAAACTGTTGCACATCATCTGCCAGTTCAGGCTCTCACTGATGCTACTCGTCCAATGACGAACCCAAGAAATTCTCGTCGTTTTTCGAGTGCTTCAAGAATGCTTTTTTCTTACTGTGTTCCATGGAGAATCTCATTGCAAATCTGCCAGTCTAAGCCTGAACGGATTATTTGGGGAGATTTCCCTGCCATCAGATTCTGATTCAACGGCCTCGCTATATGTGACAGGGCCCCGCATTGTCTGTCCCCTTGTCGGTTAGAGGAGCATCACTGAGAATGGAACAAAACCCCCAGAATAAGAGAAGACGCCGGTCTTCAATAACTCAGCAACTTCACCGGATCTTCAATGTTGACAGGCAAGAAATTGTAAGTCCACCTGCTTTTTGGCTATTTTTTCTTAATCCTGCATGGTCCTGTGGTGTGGGCTTTAGCATGTATGCGTTGGTCGACCTAGATCTGTCAAGGAATTTAGGAGCCTCATTACTGACATCTTGAAGCAAAAGCAGCGAGAATCCTGGCATGTTCCTTCAAACACAAGTGCAAGAGCTGCGCCTGATCAGCATCAGCAGTATAGGAAAGAAGGGACCAACACAAAACCATACCATAATGGCCAGTACAACAATCAGTCTTCTCACCACCCTACGAGGGGGAGCCCTGATCTGGGCGATTTGGATTTCGCCCAAGCATGTGGTGCGGCGTCTGGAGAACCGCAACTGCGGTCTAGACGCCAGAAATCTTCAACAGGATTAGAGCACGCAGTAGAGAATGTCCAAGGCTTTTCTGGCACGCCCGAAAATGCTGTTCGCTCTATTGATAAATCTACTGCTCAAAATGGGACCAACACCTTCTTTCAAAAGAAGGACAAACGAGTCACGCGACGCCTGGAAGCAGAGAGGTTAGAGCTTGAGAAACGACTCTTGAACCTCGAACAGACGCAATTGGCAGGAAACCATAATTCACTGAAAAGGGAGTCTCGTCGCCTGACAAAGAAGCAGCCCCTTGGTAGCTCTAGCAGGGGCTCTAGTGTGAGTGCTGATGAATCTCGACCTTCTTCGAGGCGTCTTTCTGGCTTGTTCTCAATTTCCAGGCGTACATTAACATCACGATCAAGCTCTGTAAATGGCAGGAATGGCGAAGAATCGACAGATAGCGCACCTGTTCCAACGAAAACACCGGCGGACGATGCTTCAACCTCACGGGTCGCTAAACCCTCTTTATCCACAAGTTTGCCGGAGCGATTTAGTGCAGTAATATCAAAAGGGTTAATTGTTGGGAGCAATGCTCTGCTTCAAGACCAAACGTCGCCGGCGCAGTCGCCGTCACCACCAGCGACCGCAACTGTAATGAACCAATCGGAGACACTAGAGGCGAACGAAGAACGCTCCTTACAGAAGCCTGAGCCAACCTTAGACGATGCAAAGCAGCAGACTGATGATCATGGCAAATCGTCAAAGTCACGTAGCTTACAGACGTCGCCTGATTTGGACCCGCTATCGTTCGCAGCGACTCTGCACCTCGCAAGAAGGGCTCGAGGTAACGATCAGCTCCAGGGCCAGTCTCCAGACAAGGTTCAGCACCCATCGCTTGTTCAGAGGGATGTATCACAGAATGGAAAGCTCTACGACTCGCAACCTCTTGGGTCATCGAAGACGGGCGCAGTTTCCCAACCGAACCCAAGTACAATTGGCAACCCAAGCAGCTTACCAACTAAGGTATCAGTCAAGTCTATTCCTAGGAGAACTTTCAAACCATCCCCCCTTGCAGGTGACTCAACAACCGGTGGGAGTTCTCAGTCACTCGCCGGAAACGCCAGCATTTGGCGCTTGCGCAATTCGGGAAGATCCAGCGGCGCGAGACGGACTCCATCCTCCCCATTGGTGACGGTTGCAACGCGCATGTCTCCTGCTGTAGGATCTTTGCAAGTCTCACAACCTTCAACCAATAGCCAATCGGAGACAGAGAGGGAAGGCAAGGCACGAGATGCTGCCTCTGAGCGTACGCCCAAGTCGAACAATTTTGCAAACACGCGTGTCTCGAAAGAACAAGAAGCCCTTGATTACGTTTCTTCGCAACATCCACGGACTTGGCATTTGACTCAAACCTCAGCACCAGTTTCAAACCTCCCACAGCTGTCTGTGAAGTCACGAATTCATGCTTCAGCAAATGACAAGAATATTAGTCACCTGAGCGTGAAACATAATCGCCAAGAAGCTCCAGCTATACATGGTGCCCAAACCGCGAGGGTCAACCAGGATATACCTCCCCTGACAGAGCACGAGTCAGGTAGAAGATTTGATGCCCGGGAATTTGCAATACCAGGCAGCGCATCTTCACGAAGCTCATCTCCAGAGCCTTGTTCGGAAGACTACAATACTGCCGATGAAGCTGGATCGATAAGATCTGTACCCCGAGCCAATGATGACTGCTTGGATGGTAAGTCTGCAGCAGCATCTGGACCCTGTTTTGTGCAGAATACGATTGAATCGAACGATTCTACCTGTGTGAGAAAATTCACGGATATCGCGGTATTCAAGGTGGGCGACCCTCAAGGTGACAGGTCAGCCACAGAGACAGGAGCCTGCCAAAGAAATCAGTCGATCACGAAGACTTTTGTGATCTGTTGTTCATGTGAATACTGGCATAATATGCCGCCTGAGAGTTATTCGAAGGTCGCTAGTCCAGATACTTGTTCAGTCCCTACCAGAAATGGCCCGACTCTTCTTGGTAGTTCATCTTTCGCACGAAAATCGAGCCGAAAATTAACTCGCAGTACCCAGATTAAGTCTGCATTATTGAACGAGCGGTCTGCCAACGAGAGGGCCACTATAGGATCGGCAACAAGGTCTCGATTTGCTGACGCCCCCTTACGGTGCTATTGGTGCGACCATCAGATGAGCAGGCATTGTTGTGAGGGATGGACTACCACGGTCTACAAGCATGAGAGGCAGTTTTGAGTCATTAATTGTCTCTACCTGACTTCTCCATCATTCTTCCCTGTCACTTTATTTCCCAGTAACCTATCCGAGCTATATGTTGTTTATTTGGTTGGCATCGCCTGTGCTGATTGACAACCATTTGAACCCGGGCAATGATCGATTGACTATCCTGCAGCCTGAAATATGATTCCCCATCTATCTAGTAAACTTCTTCACGCCTCTCCATTCTCAAGTATGCACAGGAGGGTGAGAATGGTCATGGACCAATAACAAAGTGAGAATCGGAGAATAATCTCTCGTCCTGTTTGACACTTCCATGTGACGTAGTCTCCATATCGGAAAGCTCCATTGCCAATACGAAGCATCCCACATGTTATGACCTCGGCCCTGGGCCTGTCATTGCTGTTCTGGGGAGGTTGTCGAATGTCAACGCAAAACAACTGCAATATGATAGGTGACTATCAGAGGTCACTCAACGCATCTCTCAAGCCTGAGAATAGACGAGCTTGCATGTACGTCTTTGATGATCCATTTCTTCGTGAATACCGTTTGAGACCTGGTTCATACCACTTAAGCTTATTGGCAGCGGATACAGTGTAGACAACGGGAAAGGGAGCTATATTCGCAGAGAATTGATATCATCCTTAAAGCGTAAAAGCTTTTGCCATACAATGAGAACGATGATTTACGACTGCATACATGAGGCGAATTGCATTAAAGTTGAAGGCGAGTGTGTAATCCAGACACGGGTCAGTCGAACTTAGCGGCCTTCTAAGGTACCTTTGATCTAACATGTAGTCCCGTGCCCCCGAAATTTGGAGTTAAAGCATCGACTCTAAATGCCCCTTTACCGAGATCCAAAAGCCTTCCCCCCTTAAAAGGAAATAAAGACAACGTCAAAGAGCATCTGCGCTCATTTTGCTTTTGGCTCTCTTCAACGCGCTCTTGATCTCCTCATACTTAAACCCATGGCGCGCCAAAGAGGTCTGTCGAATGCGTCTTCGTCACCTTCTCTTCCCGATGGAAATCAGGTATCCAGGCAACTTCAAACTCTGTAGTGCTTGAGAACGTATCAACTAACGCTGTTGAAGGAGCTGGAGAGCATGTATGATTATCTGGCCAAAGTGATCCTGCTTGGGCCAAGCGGTGCCGGAAAGTATGTCTTGCTCTTGATACCCTCCCAAGTGTCTTTTGCTACTGTTGCTCACATGGTACGGCTCACCGCAGGTCATGTGTATTACATCGATTCGTGAAGGACGAATGTACGGCTCCGAACCCTGACTGAGCCTGATCCTATCCCTTGCTCCCCCTGAGCTGGATAGCCGGCTCGCTAATACACCATTCGACTGTAGGGAGAGTGTTGTCATCACAAACGATCGGGGTCGAATTCTCCTCGAAAATAGTCAGGCTCGGATCCGGTCCCCGAAAAACAAGGATTAAACTGCAGCTTTGGGACACCGCGGGCACAGAGAGATTTCGGTCCGTCTCAAGATCGTACTATCGCGGAGCTGCAGGCGCTATCCTGATCTACGATATATCTTCGCAAGCTTCATTCGCAGCGCTTCCTACCTTTTTAATGGATGCACGCGCTCTTGCATCTCCTAACCTCACTGTTCTCCTGGCTGGGAATAAGGCGGACCTTGCGTCTGACTCCGTGACCCATGGCGATTTCGCAGATGACAGCATGAGAGCACCCCCTACTCCTTCCAGCACTAGCAGCAAGCAGTCATCATTCCCAATCGACTCGGTTCCTGGTTCCGTTCGATCTACAAGCCTTCTGGGTACTGGAACAAGGCTCACGGCGACATATGCCTTCGAAGGTCGTCAAGTGAGTGCCGAAGAGTCAGCGCGTTGGGCTGCCAAGGCGAATATTCCTGTTGCTGTCGAGGTGTCGGCTCTTACCGGAGAGGGCGTGGAAGAATTGTTCAACCGGCTGGCACGAATTATCCTTACCAAGATTGAGCTAGGGGAGATCGATCCCGACGATCCTCAAAGTGGCATTCAATATGGAGATGGCGGACTGTATGGCCAGGGCACTAGCGATGGGTCGAGTATTCGAAGTCGAATGACAGTCGATGATAATTCCGTGCAACTGCATCGCAGGAATCCAAAAAGGCGGGGTGGCAGTAGGGGAGTGAATAACTGGAGAAGCAACATGGGAGAATGGGAAGAGGTCTTTCGACTCAGCGGCTCGCACCAAAAGAAGGGTACCGGATGCTGTTGACCCTTTCGAGCGGTTAAACATCTGGCACGTGTGGGTTGTTGGGCGTGCCCTTCCCTCGCTCGCATCAAGTCACTCATTGCTCTTCTCTTAGCCCTTCTCCTCTGGAAGGTCTGCGCATCGGAATTCATCTACCTCGTACACAACATAACGGAACGGAGGTGTGCATTTGCCTTACCTTCTGTCTGGTTGCTTATTCCGGACGCACACGCCCTAGATACCTTACATCGCCCTCTTTGCCTCGGAGTTAGGTTCCATTTCTGCTCGCTATTTTCATGAACAATGGGACCCGGTAATTTTGCCTTCCCCCTTCTTTTATTTGCCTTTTTCTTTGCCTTTTTTCCCCCTACGCTGTGCGATTCCCTAATGCCTCTCATCGCTCCTCTGATAGGGCATCACTTGCCATTGTGGCTAATCAGCGAATACCTCATTATGCATGAAACAACCTACAGCTCTGTCACTTGCGAGCGGCTGAAATTCTGCCAATCCTGCGTCGCGCGACCAGTGAAATCCGTGGTTGACTTGAGTTGGGCTCAGATATACAGCTATTATTATTTCATTCCAAATATTAGACACCAGAGCGGCTACCATGTCTTCTTCGTCTCCTGGTCCCAAAATAGGTAGGGGCCGAGACGGCGCAGGTCCACTGATTCGAATTACACTTTTTCGAAAGTCACATGATCATCGGGGTGGCCGTCTCAATCTTGGATCCCAGCAATGAGTGTTTTGATGCCTTTCCCGGCCTTGACTTCCTTGAATGCCTGTTCAGCGTCATGGAACTCGACCACACCGGTGATAAGATCCTTCACATTGACTCTACCGGACGCGACCAGGCCGACCGCGAGCTTATAGTCACCACTCCCATACCGAAAGCTACCTTTGAAAGTCAACTCTTTCGTGCAGGCCGCCATGATTGGGAACATTATTTCGCTCCGGCCCATGCCACCTTGCACGTATGTGCCACCGGGGCGCAGAACATGAATTCCGGTGTGGACAGACGGTTCAGCCCCTGAGGCGTCGATAACCACATCTGCACCAACTCCTAGGTTGTTCTCTTTTCTCAGTCGGTCCGCGTTGTCCACCGCGCTTACTTTGGCGGGCTCGAAAGTTGATGTTGCCGCATATCTCTTGGCAAAGTCCAGTCTCGGCTTTTGTATGTCCACAGCGATGATTTTAGCGGCGCCGAAAGCTTTTGCGACGGCACAGCACAAAAGCCCGACGGGCCCGGCTCCGAAAACGATCACTGACTGGCCGGGAGTGACGCTTGCTTGTCTCACGATGTGAACAGCGACGCCTAGAGGCTCCATGAGAGCCCCCTCTTGTAAGGAGATATTGTCGGGAAGTTTGTAGCAGAAGTCCTCGGGAAGTACATAGAACTTGGCTAAGGTGCCATCGTATGGTGGAGTCGCTGCGAAGGCCATTTTCTCACAGAGGTTGTATTTCCCAGCCTTGCAAGGTTCGCATCTACGGCATGGAATACCTGGCTCCATGGCAACACGGTCTCCCACTTTCAAGCCTGTGACAGCTGAGCCGACCTTGCTGATGACTCCGGATGACTCATGCCCTAAGACCATAGGATCCTTCACAACAAACTGGCCGATTGAACCATGCTCCCAATAGTGGACCTGAATGCAACCGATGCGAAACAGTCAGCCTGATCAACGACCCCGCGGGGCAGGTGGATATAGAGTGTTAGGCTGAATGCGCAGATACGTACATCACTGCCACAGATACCAGTGAATTTGACGTTCACCAGTACATCGTGAGGGTCTTTTAGTTCTGGAATAGGTCGATCTTCAAATTTGACCTGGTGAATACCTTCGAGGACAAAGGAAAGGTTCTATTTCGATAAGATGTTAACCTTCTTTCTTCTTCTTTCCCCTTCTCCGTGCTCCTATTGGCTTTCATGGTTGGTGATGACACCGGAGACGGGGACACACCTGGGCAGTGGCTGTTGATGTACTCATTTTGTATCGCTTTTGTCTGTGCTCAAGCTTCGCCGTGTATTCCTCCTCTTATCATTCCTTTGTTGATATAGGAAATCTCAGCCGGTTGTTTTGTGAGAACGTCGGCGGTCTGAAGAAGGCACACGGAGGTAAACTGAAAGGGAAAGACGGAGGAAGAGAAGGAGGGTTGCTTGCTACTGTTATACTCGACAGGATAAAAGAGAGGAGGGGCGTGTGGAGAAAGAAAGCTTACCCAAATTATCCAAACCCAGAACTTATGAACTGGAGCAGCGAGCTTCTCAGAGGGACATCTGTCTTGATAGTGGATAATAGCGACTCGAATTGATTATCTCCGCTCCCCGCCAAGTCGTCTGGTCACACCGGTGGGGGCGGCGTCTTGACCTCAGTCGGGTCGGGCGAGACCCTTTTACTTCGTAGGTATTGGAAATTACCCGTGTGGTACCTCCTATTTAGCCGGCGAAGCTGGAAGAAAGAGGTTGAAACAGGAAAGGAGACGGAAGGGGGAAATAATGGTCTCTTAGATTCAGCTTCGGATGAGACTCCATCTCTCATGCCACCTAATATTCATATGGCTACTCTTGGGGTGTGGTTGGTGTCAAATTGATGTCATAGCCCACCTAAGAAGCAGTTGCCATGAGTACATCATATTCCCATCTCCGCATATAAGGTATCCTTAAACATTAATACCGATGTTCCTGCTTGACCATCTCTTTCCTCATCTCCTTTGAATAGTCCCCTTATTTACTGTTCCCGTGACCATCATCACCAGACGGGTAAATAAGTTAGCGTTGTGGAGATGAAGTTTAGCTGATAAATGTGTCTGTATTTACACCCACAGTTCTTTGAGATTTAGGAATGGCTGGACTATGTAGTGGGACAATTGATGATCAACGTTTTAGCCATTATTCCGTAGTTATGAAAACAATAACTCACACACGCAAGAAGTAAAGAATATGATTAAAAAAGAACGAAAGAAAGAGGACGTACCTAGGTAATAATCACAACACTCATACCCCTCTATGGAGTAAGGTAGATAGGTGGTATTCCCAGCACTGGCCAATGAGGAAGGCTTATTAAGCTAGATGTGCATATGCATATTTTCATTGGAGCACTGCTAAGGAGAAAGTATCCGTCATGAACGGAGTATCGCTGACCTGACGGAAAAAACAAACGCCTTTCTATCCGAGTTACCTGAAGGTCGGGTCGAGATATTTGCTATCTTTGGTTTATATTAAATTTCCCATCACTATGGTCGGATCTAATGTCCTCCTCCAACCCTGGAGGAGGGCGGTTTCCCATGCTGTCCGGCTGAGGACGACTACACCTACGTACCAGTACCGATACTTCAGGGCAACTGCTCGAATCTCTGCCAATGATAAATCGCAGTCCTTCAAGAATCAGCTGTATGAGAGTACGCAGCAGCGGTTGAAGCGGGAGCGCGCTGAGCAGGAACGGTTTTCTCAATATCAGACTCAGTCACCAGGTGGTCGCTATGCGGCTTTGACGTTCGGTATGCGATCCGCTCAGGGATACGTGCCATGGGTACTTTAGCTCATCTTCTTTCTTCAATATGGATCTAATTCTCATCTTAATAGCATTGGTTTTCTTCTCTACTGGTGCATATTACCTAGGATCATTGAAGCCCGCTAGTCTTCCAACGTCGTCAACCACCACCCTCTTCGAAATCGAGCCGCCGCTCCACAATATCTCACCGGCAAATTTACAGGCCGCTTGGGCAGACTTCGTTGAGATTCTAGGAAAGGAAAATGTATCAACGGAACATGGTGACCTCGATGTACATTCCGGTTCTGATTGGTCTTCGTACACACTCAAAAAAGATGAAAGGCCTTTCCTTGTCCTCTATCCAGCAACCACCGAGGAGGTTTCCCGAATTATGAAAGTCTGCCATCAACGGGTCATTCCTGTGACACCCTACTCCGGTGGTACCAGTCTGGAGGGGCATTTTGCTCCCACGCGAGGAGGTGTGTGTATCGATTTCCGCCGCATGGATCGTATCCTGGAGCTCCACAAAAAGGACCTTGATGTTGTGGTCCAGCCTGCAGTTGGGTGGGAAGACCTTAATGAGGAATTGTCTAAAGAAGGTCTCTTTTTTCCACCTGACCCGGGTCCCGGCGCTATGATTGGCGGTATGGTCGGCACTGGCTGTTCCGGGACCAATGCTTACAGATACGGCACAATGCGAGAATGGGTTCTTTCTTTGACTGTTGTCCTTGCAGATGGGACTATTATCAAAACAAGACAACGTCCGCGGAAATCGAGCGCCGGCTATGATCTCACCAGGCTGTTCATTGGAAGCGAAGGAACTCTTGGGCTTGTGACTGAGGCTACATTGAAGCTGACTGTCAAGCCCAAGAGTCAAAGCGTTGCTGTTGCTAGTTTCCCATCCATTCACAACGCCGCAGAGTGCGTGACCCGCGTGGTGGAAGAAGGTATCCCAGTTGCGGGGGTCGAGATTCTTGATGACGTCCAAATGAAATGCATTAACGATAGTCGGACGACTCGTCGACAGTGGAAGGAGTCACCTACTCTCTTCTTCAAATTCGCAGGGACCCCCGTGGGAGTCAAAGAACAAATTGAGCTTGTTCGGAAAATCGTCTCTAGTAGTGCAGGGCAATCTTTCGAATTCGCTCGAGGGGAAGATGAAATGAAAGAACTTTGGAGTGCTCGGAAAGAGGCGCTCTGGAGTGTAATGTCCATGAGGCGAGGTCCCGAGGACCGCGTTTGGACAACCGATGTGGCAGTGCCGATGAGCAAGCTGCCCGACATAATCGAGGCAACGAAGCAGGATATGACAGAAAGCGGATTGTTGGCCGGAATTTGCGGCCATGTCGGGGATGGCAATTTTCACGGTACTACCCCTGCTGTTTTCCCAACATTAAGTAAAAGCATAAAGCTAATCTCTCCCCAATTATTTTAGCAATTATCCTGTTCAATGAGGATGAAAAGAAAATTGCGGAAGGTGTTGTGCACCGAATGGTCAAGCGAGCAGTTGAAATGGAAGGCACAGTCACTGGC